ATTGTCTTTGGTATGTTCACACCGGAAAAGAGTGCAATTTACTTCATCAGCAATATGTGGGTGTGTCAACGTGCATGATGATATCCTTAATTACATGGTTTTGTATACCCCTCCAAACCAACTTATACGACCTTGCTCAATTTTGATAGGAACAGATGCATGAATACATAGGTGCAACTCATATATGCGTAACAACTTTATTTCTAAGAAAGTCTTGCCGCGAAATCAATTTATGAATTTGCATTAAGTAACAAATCATGCCGCGAAATCAATTTATGAATTTGCATTAAGTAACAAATCATGCTGCAAACTATGTGCTCAGTTATGAGATTTGAATTGCTTTCTACTTTGCATAAAAATGATTCTTTTGGTATTTGCCGCTGAGCAAATTGATTACATGCAGGTAAACAAAAAGCTCGATGCATGATGCATGTGTGCCTGAAGTTGTTCCTGGTAAGGTGAGAGCTGCTATATGATGCATGCTTGTCTCATATAGTTTGTAGAGCCAAGCTTCAAGCGAGATTTATAATGCGCCATATATAGTTGGTCAAGCAAGATTTATGGTTCTCTAATGAACATGTCACAAAACTATATAGACTAGTACAATATATATAGTTGGTTAGATTTTTTGCAGTGCCAAGGTCAGCCAGCTTCGGGTAGCTCAAGCGGCCTAGCAGCAACACGATCCATTAACAATGGTCACCGCCTGTCCATGCATGATGCATGTACAACAATTGTTTCTACTTTTTGTTTTTTCTAATTGTAATTAATAATGAATATCTCATATACTGCCATTTTATTGATATGGTATAGTGGCAATGTGGAGTGTCCTACGTTTGGGAGGTATTCTCCAAATTCTTTCTCTTCAAAAACCGGATCAGCTGTTTCTGAGAAGGAAAATGCCAAATGAATTTAGCATTTAGAGTTATAAATAGAAACATTTCTTGGATTCACGTGAGAATCCAAACAAGAAAAACCTCACCTAAAAATCTGAATAACCTTTTCTCCTTTTTGAGAAATCAGATCCCTGAGAAATTGTCATGAACATGGACCTCAGTGCTGGGCTTCTTTGCTGAACTTATGGGCTAGCTTCGGAGGCCTTTGCCAGGATAGGAGCAAGGTGGATAAAACATCAATGTATGATCGGAACGAGGCATCAAAGAGAACATGTCAATTTGTTATAAAAAAGGAGAACATGTCAATGTTCGTCCTTTGTTCAAGAGCTCTGTGCCTATTGCTCTTGCTGCCTCACTACGTGAAAAACGCTTTGTAGCAACGAGACAAATTTTTTTGTAGGGCGGCTGGTGATGGAGCCGTCCCTACGGTGGCGCGTCTTCGGGAGCCAGAGACTAGCCGCCTTTACAATAGAACAGCAGGGGCGGCTGGTGATACTGAGCCGCCCCTACAAATGGGTCGGATTTGTAGAAGCAATCGATAATACCAGCCGCCCCTGCTTGTGTCCATTTGTAGGGCGTGAATGAATCTCGGCCGCCCCTACTGAATGCCGAACCGACAATAAAATTTAAATATATTAAGCCGGTTTGCCTCGCCCGTCGCCCTCTCTCTCTCTCTCTTCGCTCCCTCTCCCACTCGACGCGACCTCCGGGCTTAACGGGGAGCCTAGGGTTTCGCCTCCCGTCGCCGGCCGCCCCCCACGGCCGCACTTCCTGGGCGGCGGCGCGCGTGGCCGTCCCCACGGGCTCCCCTCCGGCGGCGGCGCCCCCTGGCACAGCCGAACCCGGCGCACCGGCCCTTGGCCGTGGCCAGCCCGTCGGCCCTCGCGCCACGGGTGCCCGACCGTGGCAGCCCTGCCACAGGCGCTCCCCCTCCCGGCGTGGCGGCCTGGCCAAGCCCCAGCTGCGGCTGTCCCGAGGCGGCGGCCTGGGCGCTTTCGCACGCTGGATCTGGTGCTTCCGGCCACGACGGGCCCTGCACAATACGCCGTCGGCCTCTCTCCCCCTGTCCCTCCAAATGCCGTCGCAAGAACTGCCTCCCACATCAGCCTCAGGTACCACGATCCAGATTCCAAGTCGCTACTGCACCACCATGCCTAATCCTGGCGGCAGTAAGTTCCGCTGTCTCCCCTATAGGTAACGTTGCTCGTGGACGACGTCGCACTCTGGACTGCATTCGCTTCACTGTCTCTCCCAGGTTAAGCGCACACACCCCCTGCTAATTAGATAGCATCAGACTACAACGTTTTTCCATGTTCCATAATTCCGTCTTACCTAGCAACTAGCATCATCCTCGGTGAGCCTGAACCCCATCTTTCATTTCCCCGTCTTCCTCGCCACCTGCTGGTGCACAAATTTGCAGCAACTCACGGTTTTTTTTTTCGTCACCCGTTTCGCTATCATTTTTCTCGCAGATTCGACCGCCTCCTACCACCGAATTTAGTTCTTGACATACAAAGAAAATTCGATTACGGGATCATATAGCATATAAAGCGACTTTTTGTCTAAATTCTCAATGTGCTTCACACGAAAGATCTGCGCTGAAACTGAAAGCTTTGAATCGCTTCTGTGGTTGGCAGGACATGGGCGAGGAAGATGGCGGCGCGATGGATCTGTGCAGGCGAGGCCTATGCGTGGCGCCGCTATCCCCGGCTGTCGTGCAGCTCGTGTCTGCCGAGGCCGCGTTCCACCACCGTGACGCGGCCTTCACGGAGGATCACTAGCGCTGCCTCGGCACTCTGTAGCCGGCCAGAGGATGCTGCCATGGTTCAGTTGGTAGACGGTAGGAGTACGAGACATCAGACATGGCATCGACGGTTGCCAGCTGGTGTCATCAGGCCTTTAGTTACAGTGTTAGAACTCAATTTCACTTGGAAAAATAAAAATTACTCACACGCTTTTTGAGGTTATTATTATAGTATGCCTGATTTAATATTTTCCTAAACGGTAAACGGTCTTTACACAGTCGCCCTTCGTTTAGCGTTTAGGCTATTTACACGGTGTTTAAACGAAGTTAAACGGTCTAAACGGTTTTGTACTTTTTTAAAAGAAAATACATATAATTATATATGTGCATGTAAAAAATCAAGTATTATAGCATTTATATATGTTTATCCGAGTAAAAATCAATTATTTTGGTATGTATATATATTTATGCATGTGAAAAGAACCAAATATAGATATTTATACATGTAACATATCAAGTGTATATATTTATAAATATAATAAACTTAAGTATATAAATTTATCCATACAAAACTGATCTAGATTTACCTCGTGTTCGCCTAAACGGCCGTTTAAACAGCTGTTTAGCCTGTTTAATGCTGTTTATCTCCATTCTGTTTAGGCCATTTTTTTTTTCCTTTTTTGACCGTTTAAACGGTCAACTGTTTAATTTTCGTTTACCCCCTAAACAAAACAGTTTACCGCGTTCACGTTCATTGCGTTTAATCCGTTTAAGCGTTTAATCGGCCGTTTAATATATAACAAGTTGTAGGCACTTATAACACCGGCCTGATTTGAATTATATATTTCGCTTCGATTTGAATTATATATATATATATATATATATATATATATATATATATATATATATTCTGGTCGAATTTGAATTGTAAATTTGATTTTTTTAGCGGAAAAATGTACTGCAGGGGCGGTTGGTACTGTAGCCGCGGCGTCTGGTGTTATCAACCGCCCCTACAAATCGATTTGTAGGGACGGCTATAGTACCAACCACTCCTATAAATGGATTTGTAGGTGCGGGTAGTAACACCCGCCGCCCCTATAAATTGATTTGTAGGGGCGGTCTGAGAACCGCCCCCTACAAATGTATAATTTGTATAGGGGCGGTCTGAGAACCGCCCCCTACAAATGTATAATTTATAGAGACGGTATGATAGGGGCGGCTGGCTGAGCCGCCTCTACAAACGATCTGCAGCCGCCCCTACAAAGCGTTTTTCACGTAGTGCCTCCCTCTTGTTCCTTGTTCCTAGTCTAAATTCCCTATAATTCTTCAGAGATTGTATCCTCCAAACTATCAAGAACTATCGACTGTTCATATTGCTATATGATTGATGGTCTAGGACCATAGAAATGAACTCTGCGTTTGGCAGAGATCAAAATTCTCATAAAAACGTTTCGGATCCAGATTCTCGATCTTAAGAAACATTTTTAGATGGTCAATTAGAATCACTGGACTGTTTGGCTATAGGCTAGTTTCTAATTAAAAAAATATTTTTTCATACAAAAGTCATATAAATGAAAGTATGCTTAAAAAATTTGAAACTTTTTGCAGACAAAGAATAATTTAAATACAACAAAGGCAATAACTGTGAATATGAAGTGAGAAGGAAGAATCAGAATAACTGTGAATTCATGTTCACAAGAGGAACATCACGGATCATTCCAAAGCGTTTCAAGTAGAAATGTTTCACTAGTGTGCTGTTTGGCTCTGTGTGGTAAACACGGAGAGCAACTACACAAATATCCATGATTTTCATAAGAATCAGAAACGACTCACGGTGCCAAAAGTAGTGTTATACATAACCGGGTCACAGTTGCATGTTCATTTGTTCGATGAGTTGTTCGTGATCTACATCGAGCGCGCTTGGTCACATGCGGCATATGCCTAGATCCATCTTATTATTAGATGCATTCTTGAAGGAGAGTTTTAGAACAAGCTTATACCATTGTTACTCCAAACGTAACACTTTTAGATTTATCCTTTTATACGAAACGGTGATTAAAGTGTACTGCCTAGATAGATATTGGACAAGGTGCTACGGCATGCATCATGTTCTATGCTCCTGCGAACCAGCAGCGCGAAAGACGTACGCATGTACGTCTATAATACACGCCTTTATATCCGTACAAAAACATGTCGACGTCGTCGCACGTTATTAATTAAGGATGCTGTTACCTAGCTACAGCCGTGTTATTTAACAAGTTCCATAAGGAGATCCTCGATACGCAGCTAGCTAGCGGCCTAGCGCGCGCAGCACCGTGCTGGCTCCGGTCCGATCCGGCTTGGCAGCGGCCGGGCCGGGTCTAGTTCTTCACCTCCTCCGGTCGCCTAGCGCCGGGCGGCGGCGGGCAGCACTTCTGGCAGCCTCCATGGAATACGTGGTGGCAGCATCCGTACTCGCAGGCGTGGCTTAACCCACCTGATCCGCCGCTGCCGCCGCCGTGCCAGTCCTTCACGCCGGCGTCGTCGTCGTTTGCCATCTTCTCGTTGTTTTCATCTGTGTGGATGAACGAATAGTATATAGATCAGAGCTTCATGAACGCCTGATTACCATTTATACTACATATGACTCAACGCCATCGTATCTCGTGTGTAATGAGAAGACGATAAGAAAAAACAGGAATCCAACAAATACGCACGAGCTTGCTCCGCCGCGGCGGTGAGCACGGCGGCCGCCGCTAGGATGGCGAGCAGGAAGAGAGCCTTGGACGCCATTGATGTATTGATCGGTTGTCGCAGCCGCCGGTGGTGATGAAGAAGAAGAGGGACGAGCGACATTCTTTTCAGTGTGCATTACATCAATGTTATGTGGAAGTAGAAGGTCATCAAAATAGGGGAGGTTCCACAAGCACGACTTGTAAGTACATGCATGTTGCTCACCATATCCCAGAAAACGATCTCCTTGGTCATTGACCTCGAGAGCGTCTAACTGAGCACAAACCACGGCACCAATCATCATCTGGGGTGCAGGGCCTTCAACTACTACATCTTTCGTAAAGTTTTTGATGCCTTGTCTGAATGGATGGTCAAGAGGGAGGAATTGTTGATGTTTGTCTAATGAAGAATACTTGCCACCCTTCGTCAACCAAATGAACATCAGAGACGCCTTGCATACTGGGCATGAGAACTTCCCTTGAACACACCATCCGTAGAATATCCCATACGCCGGAAAGTCATGCAGGGAGTACTGGTACCAAACATGCATTTTGAAGTTTGTCTTTATAGCTCGGTCGTATGTTCATACCCCTTCCTCCCAAGACGGACCAAATCATCAATCAGAGGCTCCATTTACACACTCATATTATTTCCTGGGTGTTTAGGAATTATCAACGATAAGAATATGTTCTGTCGTTGAAAGAGGACGCCAGGGCGGAGATTGAGAGGGATAACGAACATGGGCCAACAAGTGTATGAGGCAACCGCCATTCCATAAGGATTGAACCCACCTGTTGCTAGCGCAACACGTACATTACGACCTTCTAGATCTTTCTCACGATGAATCATATCAAACCTTGTCCATGCTTTACCATTGGATGGATGCACCAGCTTCTCAAGATTGTATCGACATTCGTATTTGTGCCATATCATCTGTTTTGTGGATTCCTCAGTCATATAAAGTCATTGGATCCTCGGTATGAATAGAAGGTACCATAGGATCTTCACAGGGACGACGAGCTGCCTCTTCTGACCATCACCAGAGTCTACCTCCAGGAACCTAGACGATTTACACTTCACACAGTACTTTGCTTCTGCATGTTCTTTCCTAAATAAGATGCATCCCTTCAAACAAGCATGTATCTGCTCATATGGCATCTTAAGTGCACGAAGGAGTTTATGTGCCTCATACATGCTCTTTGGTAGGATGTGACCATCCGGGAGCAGGCTACCAACAACTATCAACATAACATCGAAGGCTTCTCGACTCAAGCTAAATTGGGACTTTACGGCCATTAGGCGTGCAATGGCATCCAGTTGAGAAACCTTGACATGCGCGTGAAGGGGTTGTTGTGCTGCAGACAACATATCGTAATACGCCTTTGTGGTTGGCTCTGGCTCCTCCTCCCTACGTCCTTCATCGAAGTGTGCCTCATAATAGTCATTTAACATGTCTCCTACCCTGGCATCAGCATCATAATCGTCGATGCGTTGTCTCACGACCTCGTCTCTCACATGATCGGATTCACCATGGTAGATCCACAGGGTATAGTCCGCCGTAATCCATTCTTGCAAAGATGTTTACCCATGACCACCTTTGTTTGTCGACGCGTGTTTGCACAAATGCTGCAGGGACACCAAGTGGCACGCGCTCCTTTAACCCTTGCAAATGCTAGTTCCAAGAAAGCATCAGTCTTCTCAATCCATTCATCGGTCAACGAACCCTGACTAGAGCAGCCCGTGTACATCCACTCACGGTCATCCATCCTCTAACATATCAGCAAGTAATATAAAAATCAATTGCATCTATAGGTTCCTACGTGGTGGTCTAATAGGTGAAGATAGGTCCTAATCCCACCCGATGATGTGTAGATGGGGTTAGTTTCCATGCTCTACTCCTACCTGAGATAGAATTTCGGCAGCACCTCCCCGCTGTTTTCCAAATACACGTCCTGGCAGGGAGATTGTGTATCCGAAGAACAACAGGGAGATGCTGCTGAAACTCTGTCCCGGATCCGAGTAGAGCATGGAAACTAACTCCATCTACACATCCTCGGGCTGTCCAAAAAACGTGGACAATTCGAAACAGATACATTTATAGATATGCAAACATTTGCATATTTTCAACCATATCTCTTTCGAACGGGAGACGCCTAGCTAGGTTACGTGATATACGAACATGATACGGAAAGAAGGGTGTAGGATGCCTCACCTTGCTATCCTGTAAAGTGACGAGTCGAGGACGGTGGGGAATGATCCTTGCAATAGCCTCTCCTGCAACAAACGAATATAATAGTGTCAATTATAAATTTCGGCAGCATCTCCCCTGCACGGTGAGGTAACCAAAACCTGTAATAGGTATCATCATATTGTCAAACTATAATAGGTACATCATCAGCAATGGCATATGGTCAGACTAAAATAAGCAGCACCATAGGCACACACTTGTATATACTGACGAGAAGATGGTTGCAACAACACAATAGACATGAATTAAAACATAGGCTGAAGAAGGGGAAAATAGCAAATGGCAAACACTGAGAACATCAGATCATAACCAATCTCCCTCTACAATCACAAGGTTCACCGTGGTAGGGGAGCTGGAGCACGCCCCTGGAGCATGTGGATAGCGCGGACAATTTGGAGGGATTACAGAGCCTTTGCAACAGTGACAACGAGCTAGCAGATTACTTTATCTACCATTGGCTCGATTACTGCTGGATCTGCTCTCTGTCATTTCAAGCAATAATTATTTGCCTTTCAGACAACCCATCCAGAAGCTAAAATAATGAAACTACACCAACTGAGAGCACAACAATGCGTCGAGTACTCATGAAAGTATAATATGCAAATTACAAACTACAAACACTGATGGAATAAAGAGGGCATGCTAATATTGTCCCAATTTTTGAGCATCTGCGTTAATAGGAGTACCCAAAGGAAAAAACATGTCTTGGCAATGCCGAAGGATGCTAGATATATTCGTGGAACACCTCACACTGGCGGCAGGAGTCACAATATTTTTAGATAGATATAGATGCTTGAACTACTATGGCTCCAAATAGTAACAAATATGAGCAATTGATCCAATGGCTTGCTTACCAGGAAAAGAAGCAGTGATGCAGCAGCACGGTCAGCTTTGGGGGCGCGTCCTCCACCGTCGCGTGCTCCAGGGGGCGACGAGTCGACAACGTGAGTAGGCTATTTAGAGAGGGAGCAGAGAGGGCTCAGGCGGCGGCGTTGGATGCCGTGTTCATGGCGAAGCCCACGGCCTCCAGGGGCGCTGTGCTCCACCATGGCTTCCTCCAGGGGGCGGCGGGGCGGGATCAAGGGGTGGGTGGGGCAGACGAGCGGGATCTTTGAAGGTGGGGAGGCGAAAGGAGGATGGGCGAAGCGGGAGCTAGAGGGCGGGCGGAGGGCAGAGGTGGCGGCTGAGCGAGTGGTGCGGGGCTGGGGCTGTGGGCTGGGAGGCAAGAAGTGCTGGTGGCGGCGAGGGCACAATCTTTGCATGGCCGAGAGTGCGGTGGCGTGGTGTGTGTGTGTGTGTGTGTGTGTGTGTGCGTGTGTGAGTGTGTGCGTGTGTGTGCGGCCGATGGGTGGATATGCACAAGGTTTGCCGAGTGCCCACGATCTAGCACTTTAAGGCAAAAGCCTTGTTTTGCCGAGGCTAGATGGGCACTCGGCAAACCTGTTTTGCTTTTTTCTCATTTTCAAAACCTAAACTATTGCGCGTGGGTAGGGCCGTGAAGGGGTTCAGCAAACCCCAGATTTGCGGAGTGCCAGATAAGGGGCACTTGACAAACTTATTTTTCCCCATTTTCCTTCTTCTCCTTCTTTTTCATAACGTGTTTTACTAAATTTGTTCTGATGTACTTTGAAAATACCAAACGGATCCAAAAAAATACCAAAATTACACATGCATCAATCCATGTTTCAGCGCCATCGAATGCATGGCACACGATGTACTTTGAATATTATTTTTCTACTCATTTTATTCTATTATTTGAATCACTTGCAGTTCAAATTTGACTTATACCAAAAAATTCCTTGAAAAGCAATAAATTAATTAAATATAACAAACGGATCCAGAAATATACCAAATCGTAACATGGAGTACCACATGTGGTACGTGGACAGTAGAAAAAGTTTCAAGGCTAGAAGTGAAAAAAACTTATTATTTCACGCAGTTGTAGCTCAAATTCAATGTATATCAACTAAAATTCTATAATTGCATTTAATAAATTAAAATTATCAAACGAATTCAAAAAATTACCAAAATTACACATGAATCAATCTATGTTCTCTATTGCCTATATAAAAATTTTTGAAGTCAAGCGCCAATTGAACTGTCACTTTGACTCCAAATCTTACCGAATCCTTCTCAACGCTACGATTCTTCTTCTGAGATACTTCGGTTTATAAACATCGTACGTGACAGATTGTGCAAAACCTTCTCAAATTTTTACCATGGCCTCCACGTATGATATCACGAGATCTTGACAAATCTCATGATTTTCAGACTTCGTTTGCTTTTTTTAGAATTTAAAAACCATTCGGCCATACGTTCGTGGTCGTGTTTCTTAAACAAGATGTTCAAAATTTCTTTTTATTTCCTAGGTAAGGCCTCACACCAGACTCAATAACATAAATATCATTTTTCTACTCATTTTATTCTATTATTTGAATCACTTACAGTTCAAATTTGACTTATACCAAAAAAATTCATTGAAAAGCAATAAATTAATTAAATATAGCAAATGGAACAAAAAATATACCAAATCTTAACATAGCCTACCACATGTTGTACGTGGACAATAGAAAAAATTTCAAGGCCAGAAGTGAAAAAAAAAACTTATTATTTCATGCGGTTGTCGTTCAAATTTAATGTATATCAACTAAAATTCTATAATTGCACTTAATAAATTAAAATTATCAAACGGATCTAAAAAATTAACAAAATTACACATGAATCAATCTTGTTCTCTATTGACTATACAAAAAGTTTTGAAGTCAAACCCCAATTCGATCGTCACTTTGACTTCAAATCTTACAGAATCATT